ACTTTAGCTTTGAATCGACTCTTGTACATATAAATATATATATATATGTATATATCTACAAAAGAAATTGAAAGAAAACATATATATTTTCTCATATTTAAGATTCTCTACAACATGAATTTGGTACTCAAAATAGGGCTACCAACACTAAACATTTTCAATAAATTATTTACCTAATAAGTAACCATTGTTGGGTTGATATATGTTACGCTTTTGGACAGATTTATAAAATATTAATAAATATGTAAGTTTTAAAACTTGCATATATATATATCATTATAATAAGCATGTAACAAATGAAGTGCAAAATGAAATAGAATTGCAAATGAAAAAAATTCGTGAACGCAGTATTACATATATAATTATTGTTGGCTATATTTGTCGAGTTAATTGTGATAGTGTAACGTACTGTTACAGTGTATAAAAGGGAACATTGAAATGATAAAAACCTAACATTAGTGATGAATATTTTGTTTTATATACCATTATATCTATATTTCAACTTATTTGTCTTATAATATATTTCGTTTTATTATGTTAAAATAAATATATGGATTATATACTTCGTTATTATTTTTTAATTATGCCTGGGTAACAAATGTGTATTTGTGTTAATCAATATATAAATATTAGTTAATACAGAACAATTATATATATTGTTTTAAAAACTAAATCTCTTCTACTATATATATTGTCAGAAAAATGTTAATACACAATACAAAATTTTTTTTAAAATAATCTATTGAAATAAATTAGTTTTAAATTATTTATGTTTAAAACCATTAAATGAATGTTAATCAAATTTTGTTGTAAATGCAGCCGGTAATAAATGTAATAATGACATTTATAAATGAATTAATTAACTAGATATAAAAAAGATGGTTTTTGCATAAAATGTGTGTATATAAATAGTATTAAATATTTAAGAAAAAAATCATATATAAAAGTAGATGAAATGCTGTGTATTGATATTTATTTCATTTGAATATATACATTTTTCTACACTTTGGCAACCTTTTAATTCGTTTCTCTCTGCTTTTACAAAGTAAATATCTCTTTTTGCATTACTTTTAAAATGAATTCGCTGTACTCTGTCGCTCAATTCATGCTCTCCATTTTATATAGAAGAGAGAAAAATTATACTGATATAGAGGTAGTCTTTTTGCATTTATCGTCGTCAATGTAGTTTTTAATCGAAAATGTTTGCGGCGGCGGTAAGATGTAATAGTAGAACATTTTCACGCCAAATTTTTGTGAATATTTGTAGAAATTCATTAAGAAAAAAAATGTTAAAAACGGATTTTAATTGTGAAAAAATATTAATAAAATAATGCATATTGCATTATAATATGAAAATAAATATTATTTAAGCTGAAAAGTTCAAAACAAACTTAAGATTAAGAAAAAATTGATGACGCGTTATGTATGCTCAAAATAAAACTGATAAAAATCTTTAAAAATATATTTAAAAGCAAGATATTGAATAATTAAATGGATTGTTAAAAGAAATTAATAATTTATATATATTTTAAAAAGTTTTTAGTGCTGCTGATGTAAGTGCATATTAGACAATAAATTTGTGTGTGTGTATGTGTAACTGTATGCTACTGTTTTTGACATATTTTAAACAAAAAAATTCAAATTATAATTATATTGTTTAAAACAAATTAAAAATGTTTAAATACTGTTTAAAAACTGTGCAAATATTGTAATATATAAATTTTTAGGTTAGGTCAAATTCAATTGGTTTATATACGTTGTCTTTTCCTAGTCTTTACCTTCGCCTTTGTCGCCGTGACGTTGTAGTCTTCAACTTATGTATAAAATATATAATTTTATACTTAACACAAACAAGCATATATAAATTCATTTTATGTATTTGTGTACCTATATTTTTCGCTTATTATAACTGACAAATACGAGTGACTATTCGGATTCTTTGTACACGAATATACCAACAAAGTGTAGAGCAACGAACGATCAACTGACAAGTTCGTATGTCCATTCGGTTCGCCGCTACAATTCGAGAGTTAATTGTGTTGTGTTGCTCTGGCTTTAGTTGGTTTAGTGGTAAATTTTTTACTTTTGCTGTATTTGTTTTCATTTTTTTTTATTTTGCAAAACTTATTAATAGACAAAATAGAAAAAAAAAAAAAAAAACAAATATATTTAAGATCTTTGCATGTTTATATGAACAGAAAAAACTTACTAAAAATATAGCAGGTCATACTATAACTCGTATTATTTATGATAAAAATGACTGCAACGTAAGTTGTTTGTTATAAAACGGAATGAGGGACGGTTCATACATATAAAGACAAGGATTATTAAAATCGTAGTAAATTAAAAAAATGATTGATTTTTTAAGACGTAAAAATATATAAAATATATCTTTTGTGGCGTAAATCGTTATAACAAAAAGAAATGGAGGGAAAATTTTTTACCACCCTGTTGTGTAGAAATATACTATATACACTTGTTTGTGTACAGAAAGAAAAGCGGCTACGAAATCTTTGTCTAGTTCCCCGCTTATGTTTTTTATTGCATAAATAAAAATATTGCATATTGACCGCTAACAATAACAATTTGGCTGGAATTTAACAAATCATGCTATACAACGCGACCCCCCGAAACAGTTCCCTGAGTAACCACCACTACTACATTAGCAACAACCTCAAGCACTGTTTTATTTTTTATTTTTTTTTGTTTTTTATTTCAAGGATTGTTACTTGTGCGCGGGTTTGTGCAATCATCCACTCTGTCCTCGGTTACTTCTATTTACCATTTATCTCTTTCTTGTTCTCTCACTCTCAGTTTATTTATATTATTTAAATATATATCTCTAGTACAGTTTACAAAAACAAAAAATAAACATAGTTATTGATTGAAATTATGATTTTAAAAGTTTTAATCACGCGCCAGTAAATTGTTTTTGTTATAATTTTTATAAATATAATAAAAAATTCTCAATAGCTTTTTTTTGAAAATAAAAAATTTAAATTTTAGTTGCACAATATATAAAGTACATTATTGAATACCACACAAATAAAATTAAAACATTATATATATATTTTTTTTTGTTTTATCAATATTATATGCATGTTTACACTAAAGATAGACTTATTTTAATTGAAAAGTTCATTATATTATTTAATAAAATTAATTAATTAAAACAATAGTAAGCAAACAGTATTCGTATTTCGTACACAAAATAGTAATTAAAACTGCTAAGAAATTTGAAAAGACAAATTTTTAGCTTTATTTTTTTAATAATGCATTGTTGGTGTAAAACTTAATTATTTATATATAAAATAAATATGCAGACCATTTTTACTTTTACTGCCTGTGTGCGTTGTATGCATATGGGTATGTGTCATTACATTTTTCTATATTGTGATGTTGTGTGTTTTATATATGTACGCATATGATGTTTAAATTTATTTTGTTTTTGTTTTTGTTTTAATATATCATTATGCTTTCAAAATGTTAATTTTTTAATAACATATTTATTATTTTTATCTTAACAATTTAATAATGCTCTTACATGATGTAGAATACCAACGCTGCTGTATCTGTAAGTATTTCAATAGATACAGAGAAACACCCTTTTGCCAACTCGTCACTCCAAAAATTCTTAACGCAGAGTTGTTAATAGTGATAATTTTATTTCCGCTTCTTGCCATGAATTTTTTTGTTAATATATTTCGTTTAAATGGCAGCTTTTAAAACGATATACAAAGTAAATATTAACAAAATAATATATATATATATATATATGTGTGTTCTTTTGGTAGATACAAATACTCCAAAATCAATTCTCCTCGGCTTTTTATAGTTTCTAATATATTGCCAATCAATTTTTATGCAATCAAAAGTAATGATTCAATTTCTTTTCTAAATATACATTAAAATATTATTGTTTTGGTTTATAATAACAAAATAAAAAATATGGACTATATAATTATGTTTTAAAGTTGTCTATTAAGGAATTCTATATATTATTAATAAAATAAAAACTATAAAATTATATCACGTAAGTTTAAATTTGACCATATTAGGTAATTTCAATTTAATCTACTTTCTGAACGATTGCCATACAATGTCCAAAATGTTCTTCATGAAGGAGCACTATCAACTCCTGCCCAAACAATTTTTATAAGGATGATATACAGATTGTCATTCACTATCAATAGAGCCCACGGCAATCCTTACTTCGTACCATAAATACATCGATATCTAGTGCACGGTAATAATATCATCATCAATATCCGTGACTATGCAGTCCATGTAGGACCTAAGCCTGTTTAACAATAGTCTTCCATTCTTCTTTTGTTTTTGTTTTCTAATTTCTTAAGTTCATTTCTTCTAAGTCAGCAGGACTTAGAAAAGCACACTGTCTTTCCATCGCTTTCTTGGTCACTCTCTTCTTTTGCTGGTTCCTACTTCGTTCCTGTAAATCTTAAACGATACTCTCATACGGAAATAATATCACTAAGATTGAATACCATTAAGAGTTAACTGCTGCTTGTATGCTCTTATGAACATACAAAGTACTTAATAAACTTTCGACTAGAATGTAGCAGGCGTTTTTCAAATGCCACGAATAATTTTTTTCAGCCAGTTTCAGGTCTTAATATAGTCAATTGCTAGACAGTTTTGAATGCGTATATGTCCCACTGTATATCTATTGTTCCTGATATCGCCCATTTGTTTCATGTCTCAAGTTCAACTCAAACAAGTTGGTAAGATCTGAAACTAGTGAAAATTTACGTTACATCACTAATTCAATTCCATAAGATTAAGTATGGTTATCCTTTCATTTGTTTGTTTTTCAAGTCTATAACAATGCTATAACAGTAACATTATAATTTGTCTAAAAAATGCATATATAAAAAGAGTGTCTTATGTCTTAGTTATTTTTAGAGAATAAATTTTTAAAAATAAATAATAAAATTTTATAAATAATATGTAATACAAATAGTTCTAATATATATTTCCAGGCTTGGTTATAATTAACTTCCGTTTCTAATGTAATAATTATTACGGTAAACACCGATTATCTCAGCTATTCACTTAATTAACCTACGTCAATGATTGAGCGGCGTATATATGTTTTCCTTAATCAAAAATCAATGCATAATTTTGAAAAAGTACATAAAGTGCTACGTTAAATTAAAGCCATCGTCAAATCTGCGTATATATATTTGCAAAATATAATACAGAAAATAATATCTGGACATACAGAATACATTAGAGTAGAAAAATTAATAAGTAGCTTATATAAAGATTGCAATCCGAATGATGAAACGTACTCGTATAGAAGAAGTTCAGTATGGGACACGGCCAGGACCAGGTGGTGTAGGCGGTGGTGGAGGAGGAGGTAGCGTTAGTATTGGTTCCGTTGTTCCCGGTGCACATAACTCTAGTTTAGGTGTTGGACTTTCAGGAAATATTAATACTACTACAATTGCACATCATCGAATATTGACTCCACAACACGGTGGTGCACAGACTATTGCATATTTGCCCTCCACAACCCCAGCAGCTACTAATTTAAAAACGTCTAATATAACAGAAAGTAGCACCGGTTCCAGCAGTGGAATAACTCAAATAACAAGTAATACAGTAGTATCTACAGGTGGTAACGTTAGCGGAACAGTAGGTGGTGGACAAACTGTACAGTATTCAACTTGTGAGTAAATTTAAAATCTTAATTAAAATAGTAGAAAATACTTACTTATTCTGCAAGCAAAAAGTGTAAAAATTTGAAAATCATTATTAACGATTTTGCTTCTTTAAAATTTTTAATATTTTTCATATTTTTTTTTGCACGATTTTTTTTAAATTATAAAATAATCTTAATTAAAAAGTCAAGTCTCATTAAGAGTATAAAGTTTTTGTATATGTTTCATTAATGCTCTCTGTGCTTGAGAAGAATCATTGGAAATTATGAACTAGATGATAACTAATTTTTCTATACACATTTGTCAAAAGCTTAAGAAATAATAACAAATATATATTTACAACATGATCGAAATTGATTAAATTATTATTTATTTCAGCTTATAACGTTTCTTCCTTATCAGGAAGTGGTAATAACATGAAAAGTTCTGCTGAAGGTGGTGTTGCAATCCATGTTTCAAATACTTCTGCTTCTGTTCCACAAACTACTTCCATACGGCAGCGAACAATTAGTTCAAATCAGGGTAGCAACAATACCAACAATCTTAATAACCCCTCGCAAATGGTACAACAGTCAGCACCAACTTCTCAATCGCAAAGTGTGGGCGGTGGAGGTAGTGGAGGTAGTGGCGGTAGTGGTGGTAATGCGCCTAATGTACCTCAGCCGGGACAACCTGGAGCTCCGCCACGACTTAAAGTTGAAGATGCATTAAGTTATTTAGATCAGGTGAAACTTCAATACGCAGATCAACCTCAAATATATAATAATTTCCTTGATATCATGAAAGAGTTCAAATCGCATTGTATCGATACTCCTGGTGTGATACAGCGTGTGTCAACCCTTTTCAAAGGTCATACAGAACTGATCTATGGATTTAATATGTTTTTACCGCCTGGTTACAAAATAGAAATTCATTCAGACGAACTAGGATGTTCAGTTCCAGTTGTTTCTATGCCATCACCACCTGGTGCTGCTACTGCTACTGGTACTGCGCACCACCTTTCTACTAATTCGAACTTACCAAACTCAATACCACATAAATCACAAACAACATCGACTACTTCAGTACATCAGCTACAAGGAGGCCAAGCGGTCAATTTAATGACTCATGGTGGTGCATCGCTTTCACAGACTACCATACATGCTCTACCTTCTAATCCACAACAGTCACCTGTACCAAATTCTTCACATCCACATGTAGCTTCCTCCCCATCACCTGCAAGTGTAAGTACACAAGTACAAAGCGTTACGGTTGCACCAGTAACTTCCGCTCACATGCCACAAAATTATTCTCGTGATCGTGCTACAATTACTCAGACAACTGGAAATGTTAGTAATATAGCTGTTGCTGGTCCTCCAACGCCGAATTCACTTAATGATTTAAGTCCACAGAGCAATAGCGTATCAACTTGTGGTGGTCATCATAATTTGCATCATATATCTCAAGCACATCAGTCTATATTAATGGGCGAAACAACTGGGCAGCAAAATCAACCAGTTGAATTCAATCATGCTATCACTTATGTCAACAAAATTAAGGTATAAAAAAATGAAATATTAACATTTGAAATAACAATAACAAAATTGAAATTATTTTACAGAATCGTTTTCAAAATCAACCCGAAAAATATAAAAAATTTTTAGAAATATTACATACGTATCAAAAGGAACAAAAAATAATTAAAGACGGTACTTTAAATCAAGTGAAAACTCTTACTGAACAAGAAGTATATACTCAAGTAGCAAAGTTATTTGGCCAAGATGAGGATTTGTTACGTGAATTTGGTCAATTTCTTCCAGATGCTACAAACCATCAAACCGCACAGTATATGTCCAAATCACACAATGATCACAAAAGAAACTCAATTCAAATGGGGACCTCAAATTTAGGATCTGGAACGCATATTTCGATGGCACCAGCTGCTGGCTCACCTTTACACATTGGTAGTAGTGCAACGCTGTCTCAGATTGGTAGTAGTGCACATGCTGCTGCTTTAGGCAATCTTTCAGCAGTTAATACAAGTGTGAGCATAAAATCATATAGTAATTCACAACAAAATCATGTCATTAATACAACTGCATCTAACGCACGTGGAGACATGTTATATGATAAGGAATATCATAGTGTTGGTACACATCATCAAAGTGGTTCTCATCATAGTGGTATAAGTGGTCACATTAGTGGAACATCCAATATGCGAAACTTTGAAAAAGAGCGTAGTAATCATCACTCTGTGAGTCAGAAATATGTTCCACATAATCAAGGTTCTCCAATTGGAAGTTCTTCTACGCATTCTTCAAAAAAATCACCAAGTTATAACGCTTTAACATCAAATATTGGACCCATACAATCATTGAGTGGTAGTGGTGTTGATCGTTCTATTAATAATTTAAACTATCCAAACCAGCAACTTGGTACACATCCACATATAGCGGGATCTCGAAGGCAAGCTCTTGATGATGGTGTTAGTGGAGGTATTGGAAGTGGTGTTCCGCCTGCAAAACGTCACAAACCTATTTGTCGAGATATAACATTCGCTGAAGCTTCACGAAAATGCACAATTTCGGATGCAGCATTCTTTGATAAAGTTCGAAAAGCTTTACGTAATCCTGAAGTGTATGAGAACTTTTTGCGTTGTTTAACATTATTTAATCATGAAATAGTATCAAAGACTGAACTGCTAAATTTAGTTTCACCATTTTTAACTAAATTTCCTGATTTATTGCGCTGGTTTACTGAATTTCTTGGAGCTCCTTTGAGTCACATTCCTGGAAGTGGCAATATGCAGAGCTCACATATGGAGAGTTTACCGTTGCAGTCAGCACAGCGACAAAATAGCAGTAGTAATAGTACAGTTAATGATCGTAATAATCATCAAAATAGTGAGCTAGCTCAAGAAATTGATTTAGCGTCATGTAAACGCTTGGGAGCTTCTTATTGTGCATTACCACCTTCCACAGTACCAAAAAAATGTTCTGGACGTACAGCGTTGTGCAAAGAAGTTCTAAACGATAAATGGGTATCGTTTCCAACATGGGCTAGTGAGGACTCAACCTTTGTAACTTCACGAAAAACACAGTTTGAAGAAACGATTTACAGGTGGGAATCATTTCTCTACTTTCTAATTCTAATTACATATTTTTAAAATATTATTAGTTTAAAATGCTTTTATTACACAATCATTTAATTTACAAAATTCTAAATAAAAGGAATATTCACAGAACTGAAGACGAACGATTTGAATTGGATGTGGTTATTGAAACTAATAGCGCAACTATACGAGTGCTTGAAGGTGTACAAAAGAAAATGTCACGTATGTCACCAGAAGATCTTTCACGTTATCATTTGGATGATTACTTAGGTGGAACTTCTCAAACTATACATCAAAGAGCAGTACATCGTATATATGGTGATAAAGCTGGTGAGATAATTCAAGGGTTGAAAAAGAATCCAGCTGTTGCAGTACCAATTGTTTTAAAGCGTTTAAAAGTTAAGGAGGAAGAGTGGCGAGAAGCTCAAAAGGTTAGATTTTTTTTAAATTATAGTATTTGCATGTATATTAAATATTTTTTTTTTTAGAATTTTAATAAACAATGGCGAGAACAAAATGAAAAGTATTACTTGAAGTCATTGGATCATCAAGCCATAAATTTCAAACCTAATGATATGAAAGCGTTACGGTCAAAAAGTTTATTTAATGAAATTGAAACACTATATGACGAGGTGAGAAAGACTAGTTGCTTCCAAAAAAATGTATAATATATTTAAAAATTTGTAGCGTCATGATCAGGAAGATGAGAACGGAGAACCTGTAGCAGGACCACATTTAGTATTGCCATACAAAGATAAAACAATTTTGGAAGATGCTGCAAATTTGTTAATACATCATGTAAAACGGCAAACTGGTATACAAAAGCAGGAAAAAACCAAGATTAAACATATTTTACGACAATTTGTGCCTGATTTATTCTTCTCTACCCGTCAACCATTAAGTGACGATGAGCGCGAAGATGGTAAGATAAATTTTCATATATCATTTGTTGACGTAGATAAATAAAAAAAATTTATAACATTAATTTAATATTTAAAAAACAAGTACTATTCTTTGATTATGTAGATTTAAAATATTAACATTTAGATTCATTAATTTTATGTAATATTAATTTGGAAAACATTTTTTTTCTTTTTTTATTTTTTTTACATTCTTTCAAAATTTCCTTTTAATCCAAAAACAATCCTACATAATAACAACTTATTTTACTGAATGTATCCTTAACCTAAAAATAAAATCGTAACTTGCTTGTAATAACGTGAATTGCTTGCTGTTAATGAATTTGTCCGTCTGCATCAACTGCTATTGGTCAAACCTATTTTTATCTGTAAAGTATTCCCATTTTTAATAGATGATAACGATAGAATGGATGTAGACCCTACAGCTAGAGAGTCTACTTCTAGTTCGAATACTAAAGCTAAGGGATCAACTACACCGACTTCTACAAATAGTTGTAGTAGCAGTAACATGAATGCAGCGTCGCCAACAAGCAGTAATATAATTGTTATTAAAACTGAAACTACTGATCTACTGTCAAACCCCACATCTAATGAAATAACTACAAACACATCAAATATTAACACTACAAGCACGAATGTATTAACGGCTATGAACGATACTATGGATAAAGATTCTAAAACAAATAGCACAAGTTCTAACAATGATGGAAAAGGAACGCAAGTAGAGAACGCAAGTACCTTGGCAACTTCATCTTCTTTAACGACCTTGAGGAACTCTGAACAAAAACATATTCATGGAACTGATAATGGTTCCACTAACAAATCTGAAATACAAGAATCAACAAATGAAATAATGGCTTCAACGAGTGGTACCACAGTGAATGCATCTACAAGTGGAGGTTCTTCATTAGCACAAGGGGATTTAAATAATCTGAAAATAGAAATGAAGGATGAAAATGACGATGCCATGGATATTGAAATTGCACTGCCACCGCATGCTATCAGCAAACATGTAGTAAGCTTAAAAGAAATAATTAATTACAATTAAAGTTATTAACAATAAAATTTTTCATATAATTTCTGGAACAGGATGAATCGTATACTCTGTTTTTTGCCAACAACAATTGGTATTTATTTTTACGTCTTCATGCCATATTATGTGAGCGTTTGCGTACTATGTATGAGCGAGCACAAATTCTAGTTGCTGAAGAAGAACGACATCGCATTAACCGTCGTGAAAGTGTAGCCACTGCATTAAGACTGAAACCTAAACCAGAAGTACAAGTCGAGGATTATTATCCAACATTCCTAGATATGCTTAAAAATGTACTCGATGGCAATATGGACGCTAATACTTTTGAAGACTCAATGCGTGAAATGTTTGGCATACATGCGTATATATCATTTACACTAGATAAGGTAAATAATTAAATAGAATTTTGTAGAAAAATGAAACAAAAATTAAAAATTTCGATATTTTTGAAAATAGGTGGTTTCTAATGCAGTACGTCAATTGCAAAATTGTGTGACGGAACGAGGTGCACTTGAGTGTGTTGAATTATTTCATCAAGAGCAACGACATTGTGGAACTGGTAGTTTATGTAGCAATGCAAATAAAAATTATACTGCTGAAATGAGTTATCAACGAAAAGCAGAAGCAAGCTTACATGAAGAAAATTGTTTTAAAATTTATATTGTAAGTTCATTATATATTTTTATTCAATAAGTTCTTAATATTGTAGGAGTGATTATGATTTTCCTGTCACGTTGATTTGACAATGGGTTATAGTAGTGTCAGCCATTTTGAGAAACTTTTCACTTGGCTATATGCCGATATAGTTTACTTTTCAAGATATCGAGGTTTACAGTTATAAAGTTTTTACATTGATTACACTAACAAAAAACCTATACACATCAGTCACTAGTACCAAATACTATATGCAATATATGTATATTTAAAATTATATTAATAGTACACAAACAAAGGGTTACGACAAGAAGACGCTGTAGACTAGATAGTTGTTGTTGGTCCGATAATCTCGAAATCCAAGCTATATTATAGTACATATATTGTAGTTGAAAAAGTTGTTAAAAATAACAGTTTCTACAATTTATTGTCAAATAGACATGCCCGGAAAATCAGAACTGTGTCATATTGTGTATTTGTTTTAATTTGCTATTTAAATTTTAGTATAAAATTGATTGTCGTATTACCATCGAATTATTGGATACAGAAGATGTTGAAAAACCAGTAAATAAAATAAAGACATGGAACAAATACATCGATCGCATATCGAATCCATCTACAGCAGTTAATGCAAATGTGGCATCAGCATTAATATCGACAAATCCTAATGCATCGTCTCTGTCAATTGACAGTACAGCGAATATGGATCTTAAAATGGAAAATGCAGATGATGAGATTTTGGTAAGTCAAAAAAAAAAACTATTTTAGATTATGGGGCATTGTTTTTTACATTCTTACTATTAAGTTTAAGTTTAAATTTAATATATATTATACTTTAAAATAATTTATTGAATAATATATTTTTGCTTTATTAATTTCTTATGATTTATTTCGTTTTTTTTTTTTCTTATAACACATTTAATGCATTTTAATTTTTGAGTATTATTTGCATAGTACACTTATAATTTGACTAGCAAATTTTATTTTTTTTTTGTCGTCGGAAATTTATAAAACTTTATATACATTTAATCAATTATGGTTAAGAGTTTGAATCAAATTTAATAAGGGCACAAATTTTTTCAAGAAATAATTACATTTCTCTATGCGTTAATTAAAATCAATATATAAAAGTTGAGTAGAGTAGATAGCTTTCTCGAGCTTCTAAAAATAAAATAAATCCAAGCTATTTAAAGAAAAAAAAACATTTATTTTTGTTTTTCTTATCATTATTTGAAATTATAAATATGTGCCTTTTTCGCGTAAAAGTTTTTTGCTGCTATTAATTTTTGTTATATATAAAAATGATTATAGTTTCATCTTCTTTTTAATACTGTTTTAATTTAAATAATGTTTTTCGATTCATTGTGTCCCAGATTTTCTGTTCCGTTGCCATTATTTGCTTAATTATTTTTAAAATTTTGTTTACAATTCCAAATCCTAATCATTTAATTCATAAATTAAATAAAAAAACATGAAATCATTCTTCCAGTATAAATGTCACTAATTAATGCTTTTTTGCATTTTTTCTCATTTTTTCAATTTTTGTACCAGGTCAAATCCAAGGCTTAAAAAATAAAAAAATATATAGATTAACATTCGTAATTTTGTAATTTGATAATTAGAAACGGAAAGAATCTAAAATCTAAATAGTATTTTATTTAAATTGAACATAAAATCAAACTTCTACACCTTAATTAGTTGCCGCCATATATATATATATCTATATACATATATTATACATAAGTATTTTTATTTATTTATTTATTTTTTTTTTTTTGTATTTGCACAAAAATTATTCACTATACTAAATTAATTATTCAACAAATATTATAGTGCAACTAATATTTTATTCTTTAAAAAACTAACTTGTTAATTAAGAAATATTTATTTATAAATAATTTTGTAAGCATTTGTTTTTATTAAAACAAGTAAATAAAATTTTAGACTTAATATAGAAATACTGACGACGCTGAGAAAGTTGTTTATATAAATTGTAAATTTTACATTAACATACAATACTGTAAATAAGTTCAATTAATGCAATTCAAATATTAAGTTTTTGCAATAAATTAACGTAATAAAGTATTTAAGTATAATAATAATAAAGGAGCTAAAGTGAAGTGAAGTAGTTTATTTTAATTGAGAAGTAATTAGTGTTATATATTTTTTTTTTATTTAAGATTTATAATTGTTCGTAAAACATTGTGTAGGAAAAAAAATTAAAGACTTTTTATGAGAATATTAAATTATCATGTTTAGTTTTTTGTATAGTAAAGCAATATACGTGCATATTTTAAATAAAAATTCAAATATATGTAAATATATTATGATTTACTGAGAAAAAAATTTTTAAAGCATTTTTTTTTCTTTAACAAAGAGTCAAAAAATAAAATCCAATAAAGTAAAAGTAAAATCAAAAAGGTAAGTTTTTTTCAATTCAAAGATTTTATATTTGCTTTAAGTATTAAAAATTTTATTTATTGCAACGGCAAACAATGGTTACTATAGTTTTTAATTAATATTTTCATTAAAACAGAATATATATAAGAAATATAAAATTTTATAAAAAATGCTAAAATTAAGAATTAAATATATCCTATTTTAATAAAACAAAATTTTAAATAAAAAACGTAATGTTCTCTTCTGACGGTTATTTATAATTATAGTATATAAATATAATATAATTTATTCAGTTTTAATTAATTAGAATTGAATTGTTTTATTATTTAAAATAATTAATTTTTCAATATAATTTACTTTTACCGGAATTTAGTTTGTTTTTAAAACAAATTGAAAATTAAATTATAAATATTTTATAGAATGTATTGTGAAATTTCTTTGCGTTTTTATTTTAAACAATATTTCACAAAGACCTTAATCTACCTCGTAAATCACCTTTAGTGTGTAAATAAAAAAGGAAAAAAATATGTGAGTTAAATTCACACACTGAATAAAATATGCTTTACGAAATGTATCTAAATAATTGTGAAAAATATTTTAAAATAAAAATAAAAAATTTAATAATATATTTTATAAAAATTAATTTAATTTAATTTTTAAATTGTTAAAAAAGCAAACCTTAAGCCTGGTAACAGTTAATTATATGTAAATAAAAGTCGAAAATAATTTTTAATATAACTTTTTAATAAAAAATAAGCAATTTTTTAATAAACTCTGTCTACTGTGTTTATTCAGTTTATCCTTTTGTTGTAGAATTATTCCAAATACAAATTAATTGAGTTTTTTTTTTGGAATAAAATCATTTTTACTTTATATTTATTTTTATAATAAATATTAATGGTTTTGTCAATTTTAAAATATGTGATAAATACTTATTTTAAAAAAATTAAATACACAACATTTTTTAGAAGTAAATGAAATTAAAAAGCTGGAAAATATACATTGACATAATCATAATACTAATAGAAAAAACGTATTTTAAAATAATTAGTTTTATATTAACCTTTGCAAAAAGATTTAAATAACATAATAAATGCATCATATAATTAAAAGCAAAAAGCTAAACTAGGCAATCATTAAATATGAAAATATAATAAAATTATTTCAATCAAATTTGTTATAAATTTCGCTTTTTTTAATCTGTTTTTGCTAAAGTTAAGCTTGTTTAATTTTATTTAACGCGCTACTTTTATTTAAATTGATTAAGTTGATTTAAGTTATATATTTGTAAAATGTTAGAAAAATAGTTTTATGTAAATTATTTGAACGTGTTTTTGACCTGGTACTTGGTTATATGCCGACATGTCATTTTCATACCTTAGCTTATGTATTTTATATAATATTTATTATAGTTTTTTTTTAATTTGAAAAAAATATTCATATATTATATTTACTACTTTGATGTGTACATGCATGTTTTGTTGTAAACATTTTTTATTTATTAAATATTAATTAAAAAATTTTGTTATTTTTCTTTACTAGGATTCGCAAACGCAGCGGAAAGCGCGTTTCTTGATGCGTAATAAGCGAGCTGCATATTTAAAGACAGAACAGTCACGTTTAATGCTGGACAAAAACAAGACTATAACAAATTTGGTAGCAGCTACAAGCAACATCAGTGGAAATAATACACTTATTTCAACAGACACTCCTTCTTCGAGTAGTTCCAGTGTTAATGCAATAGTTGTAAATAGCGGTAATGATGAAAAGGATACAGGTGGTCCTTCGAGCAGTATAAATATAGCTTCAACCAGCACAATAACTAATACTAATGTCACTGATATCTATTGGAATAAACGACCGCCGGAGCGTGTTGGTAGTTTAATTGGTGGTAATGAGAGATATGCAGTGGAAGACGGTGATAAAGTAAAATTTAATACAACTGGTCGTCAAGTATTTCTTATTAAGAAGAATCTCATATTTTTCAAATTAGATTCTGTGCGACGTGCAAAAAGGGTAAGCTTTACATTACTTTTATATAAAAATTTGCTGCTAACACGGTGCACTCTAGTTTAGGAAACTGTTATATATATATACGTGTCACTTGTATTGGGTTCAGTTTTAGTATTATATATCTTAATGGGAAGAATTGATATAAATATATAAGTATGTGAGTTTCATCAGTTGTTCGTAAAAATACAGCACTTGTGTGTACATTATAATAAAAAATCCAAAACTATATTAACTCAATTAAATTAACAGAGTTTAAACTTCATGTTCTTAGTGCAAAATACTTGCACTATATCTTATATTCATAATGGTTTTTAATATATCTATGATTACTATAGCAACGAATGTTCTTTCACATATTATATTACAGTAACTGATTTGTTATGTTGAGCCTTTTACGAGTTAGTGCATCTGGGCACTTTTACTCTTTGATAGCTGGGGGGTTTTTGCAGAGTCCCACCCATCTCACTGACTAATTTGTGTATACCTCATAAGTTTCGTGATTATTCAATGACTGATCTAAGATCTGCGTAACTGATTTGTGATGATATAACGAATTATAGCCTATAGGACATTTTTTGATAGAAAGAATATATATTTTTTAATTTCTTTGTCATTCATAAGAATACAACCTAACGTGAACAATTAAAATATAAATTTAGCATTATTGTAAGTATAAATAGTGTGAATGCGAATGCGGGAATTTAGCAAGAATAGACGCAATCATTTCTGACTTATTGTAATTCGTAGTGCTTCCACCTAAGATTTGTGATATATCAACATTTAATAATAATTGAAGACTTTACAATTGTTCTTGCTAAAATATGTTTAAATTGAATAATATATTAATAATCCCGATATTAGAGCAATAAGCACAGAAACAATGTAAAAAGAAAAATGTCTTGTAAAGTAAGTACTATACTTTAAGACAATTAAACATGCAGAAGATATGTGTACCTTGAGGGGATATAGCACAGCGACCTTAATTTATGTCTGTCAATTTGTGTCTTTTGCTGTTTTAGTATAGTTCAATAAATGTAATGTCATTGTTTTGCTGTCTACTTAGACAAAACAGGATTTTTCTTGACTAAACCTTGAAGATTTACTAAGTTTTCGAGTGGCATTTTGGTCAGTTCAACTTTTCATCAAAGAGTGGGACTTTTCATCAAAGAGTTTCTTTTATAACAAGTTATATTAGATCGTTTTACTAGGCAACAATCTTTAGTCTTTCTGAATAATAAAAATTTCTATCATAATTTTTTTACTTAATAAATTTTTTTATTTTTTAGTCACATCCGACTGTAACGCAACGAAAATATAAACGTTTCCTGAAGTTTACACAAAAATGGCTGGCCGATCACGTCACTGAACAGCAACAGAATCAATGTAACGACTGGTTATTGGGTAAATCAAATGACTATCATAGTCAAAATGCTTACATGCAATATAATACAAAAATAGTAAAGGAAAATGATTTAAAAAAATCACCTTATCGCCTGTACAATCGTTATAAGGTTCTAGCAACTCCTTTACAGGATTTGCAACAATCTCATTGTAATAATATAAGCAGTACAATAAATGCAGTTACATCGCCTGTTAACAACATCGCTACTGGCATAACAAGCACGGGAACTGTTATATCTAGCAGCACAGTTGCTTCCTCAACCACAACAGATTTACATCAGCAAATCAGACCAAAGAAAGATGAAAGCTGAGTGCAACGGTAAAGAAAATGCTTTAAGCTAGCTGTAGGCCATTTCAAAAAAGAATTTGGCAGCTAATTTAATACTAACGAACACTATACTAATTCCAAGTGTGTATATTAAGTGATATGTGGGTGTATATTATATAATTAAAATATATAATAAAATTAATTATTTTTTGTTTATATTTCTAAAATATTTTGACTTGAATTCCATGTTGTAAAAAATTAAATTATCTTTGGTTCTTAAAGTATAAAATTCACATAAGCTTTCTGATAATAATATTAATTTTAAAACATATGTAGTTCTAAATAAAATAAGGTTATATAAAATATATTTAAAATTGTATATATATATATATATTTCATTAAGCATAAATGTATTTAAATATATACAATGTATAAAATACAATACGTTAAAGTTTAAATAAAATTTAAAATGTAATGATATATTAGTTATAAACAAAAATAATTTATGATGTAAAAATTTTAAGTGTTAATATAACCCATTTGTATTATGTATAATATACATATATTTGTGCATAAATGCATGTACATACTTTCAAATGTTTTATTATAAATAGTTAACTATAAATAAATTAATACCAATATAATTTAAGTTGTTGACATTTATATTTTAAAAACGATTTAATCAGTACATCTTGCAAAATAATTTTTAATGATATTTTTAAGATAGTTTTAATGTTTGAGCATTTTTTAATATTTCTACAATTACATATTGTAAATTTTACTCCATATTATATGAAAATCAGTTTTAATTAAGAATAGTTTATTAGTGTTGAAAAACTTAAGAAAAGAATTAAACTTAATCATTTTTATTAAATATGAATTTTTTGTTGTGTTTCATATTCCAACAGTGTGTGATAGATAGGTTGAGTTGTTATTACAATAATAATTCTTTATTGTTTATATACAGTTGAAATTATGTTTTGAGTTTATATGGTCTTCGCTTATGAATTATTTATTCTACAAATAAAATTTAATCCTGTTTTAATGAATATTAGTAGGCGAATCCACGATTTGGTACAATTGTGTGGAATGTGCAAAAGTCCAAAAAATCTACAATGTACTTCCATTGAAGTGAGAACTTACCACTATATTCTGTTTGCAAGTGTTTTTTTTTTAAAAAGAGTCGAGCAAATCTTTCAGTGAACTAAGAGCTATAGCGCGTGATAGAAATAATTAGAAAACTTCTGTGATTAGACTAAGTTCTTGAATTTATATATTTGAACATGTCAATAATAATAAATAAAAGTGAGGTTTTCACATCAAAAATAAATTTTGATATGAAAGTGTTACCTAAACAAGAATAAATGCCTAGGTTCTATATGCGCTTATGGAAATGCTAACCATTTCACAAATACACAAATTTTTGTAAAAGGTGCGGATTAGGTGTGGCAAATTAGATTTCCTTTCCAACAACATTCAACTGAAGCGTGGATATATCTATTGCATACTTAAGTTAACTGCTTGCGGCAAAGTTCTGGTATATCTGTATTTATATATGAAACTTCAAATTTTATTAGCTAGCAGCAGGTAAAAACATAAACCAAAGATTTTGGTGAACTGCTCTCGAAAGACTCGATCCAAAGTGGAAGATTCAATTTCGTGAGCTTGTTAATATTTAAATTAACCGTTCTGGTGGTAAAATAAGTGCTCTACGTTTTGCCAGAACTCCCGAAGACGGTCTGCGTTCAAATGCGACTAAGGTTTACAAAAATATCTACTACAAAATTTACATAGAGGTGGTTTAACTGTTTTGGTGTATCTAGAATCCAATAAAGTTTATGCGTGGCGTGTAACTAGAAAGGTCAACCTAACCTTCAAGATACCTTCTTGAACTTCTTGAATTAATATATTAGTTAAATACTTTAAAATTTATATAATTTGAAATCACTGCAAACAAAGCTGGTAAGATTTGTTATGCAGTATTAAATACGATCCTGTTTTCTTATAAAACAATCCATCCAGTTTTATTGTTCAATTGCAATTTACATCGTATCTGTCTCTAATAGTTCCATGGGCAATTTTTTCGTTAATTTCTTTTTAGTTTCATCTAAACGATGATATCAATCAAAGAGCAACACGGAGTCATTTGTCGTTTCCAGCTAAGACAGGAAAAGCAGCTCTACATCGGTTAAAACAACAATATACAATTTATCTCTTTGACCGATTGATATGGATGCAATTGATTCCTACGTTGCTAACACTGCTTATAATTTCAATACTAAAGTTTAAATCTTACCATTTTACAATTTAAATAAATATAAACAATATTTAAACAAAGATGAACGGAACACAATATTTAAAAGTAATGCCAATTTGCTTCATATAATTAATGGAATATGTACAAAGAAATCTTTATGCCAGAAGGTTATTTAATATTATTATAATATAGGTGGAGAGTCCAAAGATCATAATTTAACAATTTTTTTTAATGAAGATGCAGTCCACATTCATTTAATTATAAGTTGTTTATAAAATGTTAAATTGATTTCTTTGAAGAGTTGATCCTAATATTAGTAATATTAGTTAATATTAGTTTTTAGGTATTAACTAAGATTTGATTTCTTGATTTTTTAAGGATGAAGTTTAAACCTATCTTTACTCCTTTAAGTTTATACAAAGGAACATAAGGTTGTACCAAATAGTTTCCATAAAACTTTGACATTTGACTTCCCATAAAGTCATAGCATTACATCGATTTGCCTTGGGCACTATAATTAATTTTGAATATAGCAGTCAATACTTGCGATTATATATATCTATATGTGCTAATTTAATTAATTTTTTTATAAATGCTAATTTATTTTCGGGGTTATTATTTTAATAAAACAACCCGTGGGGAGGAGATAACTATAAATTTTTGTAATTTATTAATAACACACTTTTTTCCTTTGGGTAAAAAATACTTTATTTCTTATAAATACAATTACAGTTATAAATACATAACGTTTTGAAAAAATTTTGATTTTTTAGTTATTTTATAGTTGTTGATACAAATATATTACAAGTTCAATAACAAACTTAAAAATGCTTTCTTTATAATTTGTCCTTTTTTAGTCCATTTTTAATTAACATGTTTTAGGTTATTCGAAATACCGATATATTTAATATAGAGTATTAAATAGCATTTATATATAATTACTTTTTACAAGCTTGTAATTTGTTTTACCTTAATATTTTAAACTGATATTTATTATAAAAATTAAAATTTAAAAATTTAATTGATTAAAATTAATTACATTATTTCAAATTTAAATAATATTCAACGTTTGAATATTTCGGAACATGTATAAAAATATAGAACGATCTTAATAAATATATTACATCACTCAATAAGTCGTGTGACTAACACACAGATGGCGCTGCCATTGTCAAATCCATATGACGTTTATGAAGTACCAACCTTCAAAAGACTATGTGTAAAATTTCATGACATTTCGATTAGCCAGAAAAAAAGTGACATCCATTTAAGTGAAGCTACTTTAGTTATTTTCAAAACAATGGATTCAAAACAATTTCGTGTGTTAATTTATCATTGCTCTTGATAAAAAAAAGGACTGTACAAGCTCAGCAATGGCTTCAAAAGTATTATCCGGACTCTGCTCCATGGAAAAGAACCATTTGTTATTGATTTGCTTAATTTAAATGGGGTCGTACAGACACCGATGATAGTGAACGTTCTGGTCGTCCAATTGAGGTGGTTACTCCAGAAAACATCAAAAAAGTCTAGAAATTGGTTATATCTGATCGTAAATTAAAATAGCGTGAGATAGCTGAGACCGTAAAGATATCAGAACGTAGTGTGTTTACAATTATGCATGAACATTTGACCATGAGAAAGATCTTTTCGAAGTGGTTGCCGCATTTACTCACAGTCGATCAAAAACAACAACGTGTTGATGATTCAGAGCAGTGTTTGGCCATGTTTACACGTAATAAATCAGATTTTTTGCGTCGATATGTGACAATGGATGAAACATGGATCCATCACTTCACTCCGGAATCAAAACGATCATCATCTGAGTGGACTGCAGCCGGTAAACCACGTCCAAAGCGTCCAAAGGCACAACAGTCAGCTGGGAAGGTTATGGCTTCAGTATTTTGGGATGCACATGGCATAATCTTCATTGATTACTGGATCGTTTGAAAGCAGATATTGTGAAACCACGACCGCATATGGCAAAAAAAATATTTTGCTTCACCAAGATAATGCACCATGTCACAAGTCAATAAAACCGATGACAAAATTGCACGAAATTCACTTCGAATTGCTTCCTCATCCGTCGTATAGTCCAGATCTGGTCCCAGCGACTACTGGGTATTCGCTGATCTCAAAAAAATGCTCGCCGGTAAGAAATTCATCTCAAATGAAGTAATTGCTGAAACTGAAGCCTATTTTGAGGTAAAAGACAAATCGTTCTACAAGCACGACGTCGAGAACTTAGAGAAGCGTTGGAATAATTGTATTGTCCTTGAAGGTTTGGCAGAAAGAATTTGTTTTTCTTAGTTAGTCACACGACTTATTGAGTGATGTGTTATTCAACCCCTATTTTGAATTTTCGCAACTAATAAGTTTTTCCCAAAATACACTTTTCCATCGAATGGAATTCCCCTATTCTGAATCGCTTACATCGCTTATTACAGCTGTCTCCTGTAATGGATAAAACTTCAAATTTGATTCAAATCTAATCACTATTGGTTACTTACATATTAAATTAAACTCCTTTTAACTTTTTTACTTCTAATCTTCTTGCTCGGAAATAGGGAAAAAATTTCCATTCCCCTTTTATTCAGAATAAGGGAAGTGGGAATAGGGAAAAAACTGCCATTGATATATCATTCAGAGTAGGGGTGATGATTTTATAAATGAATAACTTATAAACGAATATTTAAAATAAATTTTTATCTTATGCGATTATCTATTTGTATAAGAAATCCTTTCGGGTTATAATACCGGACACACGATTTTCTCTATCGATGACTATCATATGTCTCAAACCAAGCGCGCGAAATTTGTTGAATATTTTAGGAACTGAGTCATGCTGAAAATAAATATATTTTTAATATTTAAAAAAAATGAAACAAATGATTATTACTTCAATTATTAAAAATTACAGATATACTTAATATAGA